GCCACATGTAAACAAAAATATAGATCAAACTAATTTAATGGTTTCACCAATTGTAACCGCACAAGTAACCGAGTTTGAATGTGGTGGCCTAGCAGTCTCATTAAGTGGTTCACACCCTGCAATGGATGGTTTCTCAGATTTTAAATTTCTTTTTGAGTGGGCAAGAGTGTGTAAAATGGAAACCCCTGTTGAGAAGATTAATTTTCTAAGCTTTAATTTGGGTAATAGTTTTCCGACAAGAGATATATCAGGACTTTTTAAGTCAACCTATATTCCAAGTATACACCAAGATATTATTGTTAAGAAATTCGTTGTTCATGAGGCTGCTATGTCAAGGCTTAGAAAAAAATGCATCGATGAAGCATGTGGAGCTTTGACTTTTCAACCATCAAGGGTTGAAATTATTACAGCACTCCTATGGAGGGCTTTCATCCGCGCTTCGGCAACCATAAATGGGTATGTTAGACCTTCTCTAATGGACTTTCCATTGAATTTACGTTCTAAAACATCTTTACCACAAGTGCACAATTCTATGGGGAATTTTAGAATCGATGTTCCGATAAAATTCATTCCAGGAGAGACCAAGATGGAATTACATAATTTCATAATATTAATCAGGGATACGGTGAATAAAGTTGTTGCTTCATGTGCCAAAGCTTCACCAGATGAAATAGTGTCAACATTGGTTAATATATATAATGAAAGTGTTAGATCACCAGAATGGGGAGGTAATGATGAAGTTGACAAAGTTTTATGTTCAAGTATGTGCAACTTCCCTTTGCATGATACTGATTTTGGTTTGGGAAAACCAGCCTTACTATTTTTTGGTGCGAAAGATACACAAATGTTTTGATTGCATGATACGGATATTCATTCAGAAGTTGGTGTGCAAATGCCAAATGTTTTGGTTGCATGATACAGATATTCATTCTGAAATTGGTGTGCAAATGGACTTGAAGGAAAGCTATATGCAGTTATTTGAGTGTGACGATGACATCAAAGCTCTCACGTTTATACGCGATGCAAATCTTTGATATCATTTTACTTTTCCATTATGTTATTGGTACTTGTTTTGTTTGTACTTTTTATTTAGGGATCGTTTAGACATGCGATATGGAGTTATGATTTGAAGTTGAAGTTAAAGCTTTATTTGGATATGCAATTTGGATATATTAAGTTGCTTTTTTTCTCAAAATATTGAAAATCTAACAAGTAGTAAAAACCATTAAAATTTACTCAATTCTTATACAATTTTACCGAATGAGCAAATTATAGTGTATAATCAAAACATTGAGATATCCTAATAAGGCGCCACATTGATAAATCACCTATTTCCATTTTTATTTTAGCAATAAATGTTTGTGATTACAAATTTTTTAAATACAAATAATTTTAAATAGATTCACTTGTTAAATATTAGTGGCCACTAGTTATTCTTTAATATATAATCCTTTCGCGTGGTACATTTGATCCTTTACAGCTGAGCTTGAGTCTTTTTTCTTAAAATTTAAAATGATAGATCTTTGGTTTTTACATTATATAATTTAGAACACACTACATAAATTCCACTAGTTTAGTTCCTAATTAAGAGGATTCACGATCGTTTTGAATATTACTTCTTGTACCATATTTCGTTCTTTGGATACATGTATCTTAACTCGACAAATACATGTCTCCAATGAATTTAAAAAGTGAAATACATGTTTTATTCATTTGAATTAAATGGTTGTAACTGATTTCCTTGATAAAAGGAGTAATTGAGAAGGAATTGACTAATCTAATAGATGTTCAGTGTCCAAGTGTATCAATTATATATATCAAATTTCCAAAAATATTGAATGCATAAAAAACTTCATCTTCTTAGAAATAAATTGTTTTTATTTCGTTCCTTAATTACATGTATCTATATGTTGATCTTAAAATATATAAATTATTTATGTGAGGTGTATCGTACCTAAAATAATAGTGATGCATGTGTTAGAGTTTTTTAAAGAATGATTTTCATAAGTACATTTGTATCTATTATAGATGATCATGTATCAGATCAATTATATCCTTTAGATACATCAATATATAAAAACGTATATAACGAAAATGTCTACCATGTTGATAAATTCTTCGTCAGATACAAATACATGTATATATACCTAATAGACATATGAAGACTTACTGCACATACAATGAAAATAAAAAGATACATTAACTTGTTTAAATACACCAGATATATGATTCAAAACTTTTTAAACTAAGATACATAACATTGATTTCATATACATATAGAAGAAATCATGTTTAATCCTTCTCCCCATTATATTTCTATCGTCGTCTATGGCGAAAATTTTTTGTTAAATAGAGATACAACACACCATCATGAATTTATCAAAAATAGACTTGAAAATCCATAAAATCCATGACTTCGATAATAAAGAGTTTGTGAATTCTTCGACGATGAATGTGAATTGTTTAGCTGATCCATTGATTTATTTGGAAAGATTTCCTTATAATAGTTACTTCGATTTGGTCTCGTTAGAAAGGAACAATACAAAATAAGGTTTGGGTTCAAAAGATTTTTATCGGTCATGATGATGATATCTTAAGAAGAAGAAAGTAGATTAGTCATTGTTGGAATGAAATTGCATTGTGAAATTCTTGAATCAAAAAGGAGGGGAGATAATAGAGTGATAAATATGTGAGGAGAGAATTAAGAGAGAGTGGTTGATTTGGAGTGAAAGAGTAAATTAAAAAGATAATTAATTAATCCTAGTTTTAAGGAATATGGGAATCTGATTGTATCTTTGTAACGATCGAGTTCAGTCGTTATAGAAAAGTTAATGGGAGAAAATTTTGGGTCGGAAATTTTTTCGTAGTATCTTGAAATTTTCCAACGTAGTCCAGATTTGGATGAAATCGAAGTCTTTGAGGTGTAGGGAAATCAGGTAACAATCGGGTGAAGTATTCATGTTTTTGATTTCATGAGGGATAGATAACACGTTAAGGAATCCATACGACTTTACAAAATTGAATTTGGGTGAGTAGAACTCCCGAAATCGATCTTAGCGTAAATGGTATTTTCTGAGCGTCGTTGGTTAGAGGTGTGTTATGAAATGGGAATTTTGGAATTCTTTAATTAGCTCACTGTCTCGCGTAACCCACATTGGCAGGGATTTTTGCCGCTTTGGCGGGGCTGCTATAGCGGGGTGATGGCCGCTGTGGCGGGCTCGACGCGACTTAAGGTCGTTAATAAACCCCTAAACGACCTTATTTGATAGTTTTCAAATTTTAGAGCTAAGGAACAAACCCCAGGCGACTCCTATTCGTTTTTCACCATTCTTGAGACTAAATGTAAGCTTTTCACTCCCTGAATCTATTTTTCGATCCGTACAACATAATAGAATGGGTGAATATAGATGGGGGAGGGTTTTGTTATAGATTCTATGGTGAAAACAACTATAATTTGGATAATTGAGATCATGGGTTTGATCTAGGGTTCATAGAATTGCTATAGTTTCGGGTAATTAGTGATTGTTTGTTGATTCCCGTGTTGTATTAATTGTTTGTAGACCAAGAACAAGCGGAACGAATTTGGAAAGGGAATGATCAAGTTACTTAGGATTTCAAGCTTGTTTCGAGGTAGGTGTTGGTTGTGATTCTATGATTATGTGATGTATGTTTGTTCTTGCTTCATTATGATACTTGTATGTATATGAATGTTGCATTATTGATCACACTTGTTGTAAATGAGTAAGAGGAATGATGAATGCCATGAATCATGACTTAAATGTATGATCTTGAAGATATACTTGTGATTGTGATTGTGATTGTGGTGTGTGAATGGGATCGGTTGCCACGTTTCGACATAACTAACTTGGATCAGTTGCCACGTTCCGGCCTAAATATGGGATCGGTTTCCATATTCCGGCATAACATTGGGATCGGGTACCACGTTTCGGTATGCTAACTATTTGGGGTTTGAGTTCCATGAGAAGACCAATGATTTGATATAAAATGTGAAGTTGTTCGTTGTTCGTAAATATTGATAATAGTGTATATGTTGATATATATGCATGTGCTTATAATGTTGTCTTGACTTGCTTATGTTGCACTTAGTGGGATAGCCGCGTGATCCTACCAGTACACTGTGGTTGTGAACTGATACTGTACTTGCTCTTATTTTTATTGAGTACATGGCATCTTCAAGCGGCTACTGACAGACCTCACTTAGGAGATCAGTGATCGTTCGAATTCAAGGGTGAGCCAATTCTTTCGAGCTGCCATGGGTTCTCTTTCGTCTATGTCCACCATTTTCAGACTTCGACTATGTTCTAGTTAGTTTATTAGATTGGGGTTGTATTCCTTTTTGTTTAGACTTGGTTCATTGTTAGATGTTTTGGTACATTGACTTTCAGGTTCTAGGTTATTTCTTTCGCATTGTATAGTTCGTTGTTAGACTTTTGTTGGAGTTTATGAGAACTCCCCTATTTCTTTCCTTAGTACTTAATTGCTTTCATATACTTAAATGCCTTAGTTTTTAGATTAGTTGCTTGGTTTGAGTTGTAGTAGTGGTTCTCCCACCGGAGGGTTAGTGTGGGTGCCAATCACGACGTTCTGGGTCGTGAAAAAATTGGTATCAGAGCCTAGGTTCGTTGATCTCGATGTACCAAAACGAGTCTAGTAGAGTCTTGGGGACACCTTTACTTTTCTTCTAGAGGCTATAAGACTTTAGGAAATCTCTCCATTTTCTCTTGTCTCTTTTCGTGCTATAACTTGATTCCAATTGGTATATGTCGATTCAAATTGGTATCTAACCTTCTTCACTCTTCTGTCCACAGATGGTTAGCACTAGGTATAACGGCGTTAGGCCCGTAGCTCCCGTCAATGCTCCAGCTGAGGAATCTGCAGCGAGATGCCGTTGTCGAGGCAGGGGTATATGAATATCTAGGGGTAGAGGCCGTGTAAGAGCAGTGCCTGCTGGAAATGGAGCTCCTATTGAGAATGCTCATATGAATGAGAACCCTCATGCGCATCATGAAGGTGTAGAGGAGAATGTTGAAGAGGTTGGACAAGAGGAAGAGGTGCAGGCTGAGGCTACAAGTATTCCTCCTATCGACCCAGTGTTAGCTCGACAGATCATGTCATTATTGAAAGGGTTGGCTGGTCCTGGAGTGCTTCCATTTGTTCAAGCAACTCAAGCTCCTGCTAATCCCCCTAATGCTAGCACTGCGCCCAAGACGGGTAGAACGAGAGGTAATGATGCTTTCTTCCGTCCTTTGTTGGGTTCTGTCATGACTGGTAATGAGCATAAAATGTTGACTTAGTTTTTAAAGCTAAAGCCTCCGATATTTCTTGGTTCTGAGAGTGAGGATGCGTATGCGTTCATTCTAGATTGCTATGAGAGGCTTCATAAATTGGGTATTATTCATCAACATGGGGTTGAATTTGTGTCCTTTCAACTTCAAGGTGAGGGTAAGCAGTGTTGGACAACTTATATGGAGTGCAGATCTTCTACTTTACCTCCACTCACTTGGACCCAATTTCATGCTCTGTTTCTAGAAAAGTATGTGCCTAGAACTTTGAGAGATCGTAAAAAAGATGAATTTATGGCTTTGAAACAAGGTGGTATGTCTGTGGCTACTTATGAGGCCAAGTTACATGTTTTGTCTAGATATGCTACTCTATTGGTGATTACTAAGGAGGAGAGGATCTACTTATTTATTAGGGGACTGAATTCTGAGTTGCAAGTATTATATGTTCATATGACTTCTGCAGGGAGGAGTTTTAATGAGGTAATAGATTATGTTAAGAAAGTGGAGGGGGTGAGGCGAGACAGTCAGGCTAAGCATTAGCAAAAAGGGCCAATAACTCTGGTAACTTTCAAGGATCGTATTCTAGAGGTTCAGGGAGGCCAACACTGGCAGCCAAGCCAATTCAGTGCGCTATGCCCGCCTCTACAGGTAACTACTCAGGAACTCCATCTTATAATTTTCAGGATAGCCAGGGAGTAGCGTCTTTGACGGGAGGCAGACCATGTTTTGATCATACTTGCTACAATTGTGGAGAACCTGGGCATATGAGGAGAGATTGTCCCCATCCGCGTGTTTTTGATTCCGCGCAGCAGTGGGGCTCGCTAGCTATTATCGTTGATTTGTGAAAATTTTTGCTTCTATTGACACTCACTTGATTAATTTGACCAAAAAGAAGATATCATTTGAATGGACTGAAAAATGTGAGGAGAGCTTCCAAAAGCTCAAGACTCTCTTGACCACCGCGCCTATTACTGGTTGAAGGTAAAGATTTTATTGTTTATTGTGATGCTTAACATTCTGGTTTGGGTGCTGTGTTAATGCCGGATAAGAATGTTATAGCTTATGCCTCGCGTCAATTGAAGGTGCATGAGAGGAATTATCTAACACATGATTTGGAGTTGGCAGAGGTAGTGTTTGCTCTTAAGATCTGGCGACATTACCTCTATTATGTTAAGTGTGAAGTGTTTACCGATCATCGTAGTTTGCTAACATGTGTTCACTCAAAATGATCTGAATTTAAGACAACGAAGGTGGATGGAGTTGCTTAAAGATTATGATGTCACCATTCAATACCATCCGGGCAAGGCTAATGTGGTGGCAGACGCTTTGAGTCGAAAAGCGGTGAGTATGGGTAGTTTAGCTTGCTTGAGTGTAGCCAATCGACTTTTGGCTCAAGAAATTCAAACCTTGGAGTCTAAATTCATGCGATTGGGCATCTCAGAAAGAGGTGGGGTGTTAGCTAGTGTTGAAGTGAGGGCAACATTTATTGATGAGATCAAGGCCAAACAATTTGAAGATGAAAATTTGGAGGAGCTTAGAAAGAAGACTATGATTGGTAAAGCAAAAGAGACCACTCTTGATGCGGATGGTGTGCTCAATTTCAAAGGAAGAATATGTGTTCCTAGAGTAGATGACGTGATTGAGAAATTGTTGGCAGAGTCTCATGGTTTGCGATATTCTATTCATCCGGGTGTGACCAAGATATACAGAGATCTAAAGCGAATTTATTGGTGGCCAGGCATGAAGAAAGACATAGCGGAGTTTGTGACGAATTGTCAAAATTGCCAACAAGTGAAATATGAACATCAAAGGCCGGCAGATTTACTTCAAAGAATACCTATTCCGGAATGGAAGTGGGAAAGGATAACAATGGATTTTGCGGTTGGTCTTCCCAAGACTTTGGGGAAGTTTGATTCTATTTGGGTAGTGGTTGATAGATTAACTAAGTCAGTCCATTTTATTTCGGTAAGAATAGATTATAATGCTGAACAATTGGCTAATGTTTATGTGAAAGAGATAGTGAAGTTGAATGGGGTGCCCCTTTCTATCATCTCAGACCGTGGTACCCAATTCACATCCAAGTTCTGGAGGAAATTGCATGATGAATTGGGCCACAACTCACTTTTAGTACAACTTTTCATTCACAGACGGATGGACAGTCAGAGAAGACTATTCAAGTGTTAGAAGACATGTTGAGGGAATGTGTTATTGATTTTGGAGGACATTAGGATAAGTTCTTACCTTTGTGTGAATTTTCTTATAACAATAGTTATCACTCCAGCATTGATATGGCACCATTTGAGGCACTCTATGGGAGGGGATGTAGATTACCCATAGGATGGTTTGAGGCCGGAGATGTGAAACCATTGGGGGTTGATTTAGCGAAGGATGCTCAAGATAAGGTGATGAGTAATCAAGCTAAGCTTCTAGCGTCTAGAGTAGACAAAAGAAGTATGTGGATCATAAGGTAAGAGACATGACGTTTCAATCCAGTGAAAATGTTCTTCTTAAGGTATCACCCATGAAAGGGGTGATGAGATTTGGTAAGAAGGGTAAGCTAAGTCCTAGATACATTAGTCCATTTGAGATTCTTGAATGTGTAGGAACGGTGGTGTATATATTGGCCTTACCTCCTAATTTATCGAGTGTTCATCCGGTATTTCATATGTCCATGTTGAAGAGGTATCATGGTGACATGGATTATATCATTAAGTGGGACACAATTGTGTTGACAAGGACCTCCAATATGAGGAGGAACCGATTGAAATTCTTGATCGTGATGTGCGCAAGTTGAGGACCAAAGAGATTAAGTCCGTTAAAGTTCAATGGAAGCATCGTCCAGTTGTGGAAGCTACTTGGGAAACCGAGAGAGACATGTGAGACAAGTATCCCCAATTGTTCGTCGATTTAGGTACTACTTCCTCCCTTCCTTAGAATGCGAGACATTCGATCCGTAGAACGTAATAGAATGGATGAATATTGATGGGGGAGGGTTTTGTTAGATTATATGGTGGAAACAACCCTAATTTGGATAATTGGGATCATGGGTTGATCTAGGGTTCATAGAATTGTTATAGTTTTGGGTAGTTAGCGATTGTTCGTTGATTCCCGTGTTGTATTGATTATTTGTAGACCAAAAACAAGCGGAACGAATCCGAAAAGGGAAGGATCAAGTTTCTTAGGGTTTCAAGCTTGTTTCGAGGTAGGTGATGGTTGTGATTCTATGATTATGTGATGTATGTTTGTTCTTGCTTCATTATGATACTTGTATGTATATGAATGTTGCA